TTAAACACTCGGCTCGATGCGGGTTTTGTTGGAGCAGCTGCTTCACGACTAAAATGGGGTGGGTAAGTAGTGTTGTACGACAGAAAAGTTAAAACACGTACTTCACACGTTTGACGTAAATAACTATTATACACTATTTTGTTTGTGTATACGCGTGCAATTGAACTTTGACTTGGGGTGAGCGCTCGATGTACGTAACTGCTTCGTAGGAAAATAAACTTGGCGCCGCCGCCGAGCATCGCATTGCGTTGTAACGCGGACATTAAAATGTATCGGTCCACCGAGTATTCCATATTTCACATTTCCAGACGCCGGAGAAACACCTCGCAACGGTGCGCGGTACCGTAAATCAATAATTTTTTGGAACACATATCCACCGTAAGTATACGGTACACGTTCCATTTGCTCGTCGTCCGGAAAAACACGAAATACCGCATGATTGGTCGTGTACGCCGCGTTAGTGGGTACTGTGTACGCAGTCTGACGGTCCCATGCACGATATCCGCGCGCGTCCCTACACGTCCGATAAACCGTATTGTACACCGAACTGCACGCGTACACCCGGTACATTGTAACGACGCCTCTAACAGTATTATCGATCCGTTGGTGTACACGCGCGGCCCGACAACGTTGTGCGACGTACTGCAACGTTGTTGCTGAGGCGAAACGTACACATCTTGCGCCACCGGTGCCACGATGGTGCCGTTATGCAAGCTTTAGAGCAGCGGTTCTCAACCTGGCGGTCCTCCCTAGGGAGGTGTGACATATTTAAAAAAAAAAAATGAAAACTTTATTTTTAATTGTTCTGATATTTAACCAAGACATTATTCAGTCACAATTGATTGGAACTGAATTGTTCTGATCTTCTCATTAATTTGTATTTACATTTATTAACTGGAATGTGGATCTAGTATAATTTATTTTAATAGTTTTAAACTATAATAATATTTTTTCCTAACCAATAAATTCATTGAATATTGAAAAAACTTATTGATTTTCATGTTATCATATTAATCCAATAACCAACATTAAAGACATGATGTGTACATTGAATATACATTTAACATAGTTCAATCTTATTACAGTGAAGGGATTGGGCGTGATATCATAAAATAGTATGAAAGGGGGAAAATGTATCTCAAAAGGTTGAGAACCCTTGCTTAAGAACACGTACAATTACCTACTGCCCGGTATATCGTAATCGGTGCGCGCAAGTGATTGGCGAATGCGTTTCGCGTACATCTCCCTGGTTTTGCGCCTGCTTGTCGATTCGGGTCAGAATACCTATTGTTCTCATAGCAAATGCGCGACACGAAATGAACGCGCGTGTACGTACATCAGTAGGATGGATTTTCGTTTACAAGCGAAATGTTTACAATTCGTGTACATAACAGTATTAACACCTGTTGGTGCGCAATGATCCCCGTGTCGAATTGTTCCTGTACGGTTAGTATACACGTCGCGGACTTGATCGGGTCAAAATGAAATAATAATAACAACTTTTCGACGAATGGAACGTCATAGGCCGAAAAAAAAATAAACAATTTACTCTGGATGATGTGCGTTTTGCGAGCGTAGAAAGCGATCACGTTTGCCGGTTAAGGGCAGGCGACCGGTTTAGTGAAAAGTGAAATTATTACTATAGGGAAACAATATCAAATCTATATGTGCGCGCGTATGTACCTGTACGTGTATATGAATCATATGCGTATGGAAAATTCGTTTGAGTTATAATGCAATTAGAGAGTGTAAATGGATATTCATGGGTGTTCGGATACATGATACACAATTGTATACACATACGGTTGTTAATATAATAATGACAATATGCGTGCACGGGATAAGCGGAATGCATACTTTCACTTGAAAATCGAGCGATTTAAAAAAAAATAATAATAAATAAAAACTAGATCGGGACCGCATTATATTATATTTATGTCCGTTTGTACCGACAAATGTAATTTTATATTATATAAAATATGCCTACGGAACAGTTAAGAATGATTGGAATCTCGGGATGTACAAGAGGGAAAAACGTCAGCGATTACTTGGAATCGCCTTAATTATTAAACCTAGTAAGATTAGTAAGATTTGTTAGTAAGTTGATCTAGTCGAACCTTAACCCGTTCGTTGCATTTGTACGGTGGAAAGAGTCGAGAACGAGGTAACTAGTTATAATAATAATAATATTTATATGGATCTTTGTACATAAATTACACTCGTACAGGTAACTGTAGTGGTGTCTACACAGTTAGGGACTTTTAATCAATTTGTCGCTGGACATATTTGTTGTTGCCGTTACGGTAAAAACTTCACTAGTACCCGACGTCAAATGGTTAAGATTATGTAGTAACATTAATCATGGTAGCGTGTCAATTATGAGTATTGAAGTCTATTTTAATTCTAACGATATTAGAAGTTGATTGAAATAATTATTACTACTGGGTATTGTTCGATATTAATTAATTTTTCACTAGATCCGTGTTCGTTTATGCCGGAAAAAGAAAATTATAATAGTGCAAACGATTATACGCAAGTATAGGGTTTCAAAATGAAAAGAAGTACAATACTTTCACATTTGGGTAACTGATGCGAAAAGTCGAAGTAACATATACTTTTTTCAATATTCTAATGCTACTATGTATTTATACAGTTTAATACGTGTGTAAAAAATATGGGTACATGTTTTTGCATGTAGCGTCTCGAAAATTGTCTTACGAGTTTATCTTTTATATTTTAGTTATGTAATACAAAATACTTTAAAAAACCAATTTAGATATGAAATATTTAACTTAATTTATAGTAATTATAATATTTGTTAATATTTTTCAATATTAAACCTAACACAAACTTTTTAGTTTTGAGTTGTTTGTTACTCTATTACACGTTGCACATGAAAATCTACATATATATATATATATATATTGTAGGAGAAAAACACTCAAGTTTGATACTCAAAATGTGTATTTGGATCAACACAGTCACGAATATTATTGAAACAGAAGATATCTAAATGCAATTTATCCGAGTGAAATGACACACTAGCTGACTATTAAACATATAAAATCAATATGAATAGACGTTTAGACATGCTGTAAAAATGTATTACAATGAAAAGAAAATATAATATATATATATTATCACGACAAAATGAGAATCATATACACGTGTAGAATATTGTGATAAGTGGAAATAATCACTAATAATAAGATTCGTTATAAAATTGAAAGATATAAAACCAAAATTTAATTCAGAATTTTACTTGTTGTATGATTGTTTTGAATCATAGAATTGTTTTAAGTCATACTTCGTTATCAAAATTTGTAATTTTTAAAATTTTAAAATTAAATATACGATTATATTATATTATATTATATTATACTATATTATAAAAACTATTTGTTTAAAATTTAAGTTTTGTATTTTTAAAATTATCATAAACCTTTAATATTTTAATACATTTCAGTTATATGTGATCTTGAGAGGTGAATAGGTACATACATTACGATATGTGTACGATATGTTCATAATTTATAAATTATTTTTAACCCTTCAATTTATTTATTATGATAATAATATGACTGCTATTTTAGAATTTATTCATATATTTTTTCATAGTAAATCAAGACATTTAATTCGGTATAGGTGGCAGGAGGTAAATAACCATTTGTCTAATAGATTATTTATTGATATTTAAGTACTGCAGTTTGTTGAACTGATAATTTCTAGACACATAAGTGAATATTATGTAGTTATATAATTATGTACCTTGAAAAATTAGTAAATATATATTAATTTATATAACAGTATGTAAAATATCAAATAGGTACATAACTTTCCTGTATAAACAACTAAAATATATACATAATAATTAAGCTAATTTTATAATACTTATACTAACGCCTGACGCTAGTATTATTAATCTTTGTAAATATTATAACCTTAATCGCATTAGGAATGATTTTTTTATAAATAATTTAAGAGTATACCAATGAAATATGTTTTTAGAATTAATATATTCTAATAAAATAAAATATATACTAACCTATATATATATATATATATATATATCTAAAACAATAGAACATTTAAAAAAATCTTATAGATGCGTAAACAATTTTATCCTAAATGTCGTCATACGTAATTAAATTTCTTATTGTTTACTAACGTTCTGTTGCACAAGAAAATATAGGATCTAAAAAAAAACTACCATCAGGGAAAACTAAACCTAGGTGTACAGAGATTTCGTATTGTAATAGATATAATTGTTCACATGGTTTCAAATTTAAATTTTCTTATCGATGTTATTCGATTAAGAGCGAGTATATGCGTTTGCGCATCATGACCTTACACGTCGATGACACTATCAATAGGCCGCGGCATTGAAGTCTCCGAGAAAATAGCTTTTTAAAACAATGAACTATAAAAGGTAAATTTACTATCGAACGTTATGGCAATACCAGGCTTTATTTAATTCTCACGATTATTTTATAATAGTTTGGATAAAAAAATAAAAATGCTGAAAAATATGCACTCGAGTATATTATACATAGATATATAATTCCGTAAAAATTTCCATTTATGTTCATTGTTTTCGATATGCACACAAGCCGTGGTGAAGTTCATTAAAAATCCTACTACAGGTTTAAGTACTATGGAGTGATTACTCACGTTTTTCGATACCCGTGACGACATATTATATTATTATTGTACACACAACGACGAAAGCGTCAAGATGCGAAATATCTCATGAGTAAGTATACACGCGTGTATGAACTACGTACACTTGTCGACCGTGTCGCACGCCTTGGCGGATCATCCTCTGCCCGGTTACGTACATCCGAAAAGAACCACTCGGAAAGGCGCGCGCGCGTTTTCTACCGACGCGGTTCGATCGACCTGACCCACGATTCATGTGCACGTGATTTGCAAGGTAGAAACATGGATAAAATATGATGGAAACCCCATTAAACCATTTACGGACAAGACGACGGACTTACCTGAGAGATGTATGGAAGCCCGTTGGATCACGTGTTGCGGGTATCTGCTGGTGGTGCGTGGTGTATTATCAGACGACGGTGGTCGGCAATGGGCGACGGTGGCGTTGGTAGAGGTCGGCGGTCGCGTGCGATATCATCCGGGAAAGATATGTCGCGGTCGGATCGCGCGTATCCGTTATATCCGGTCACCACGACTGTACTATAACTATAATACTGCTACTCACGTGTACATATACAGGTGCATACGATCACCGGTACGACTAACCGCTGCACTGATATTATTGTTATTTTATTATTATTATCCTACACACGACCGTCGATCGTTCGCGGCCGAATGATACCCGAGTCGGCACGCCATCCTAGTTTTTACCCGTCTCCTCACGCGGTCGGCCGCAACTCCCTCTCCGCGACGACGGCGACGGCGGTGGTGGTGACGCGCGCTCGTACGGCGTTCGAAAAACTTGTGAACGCGCTTTTTCCTATTCCGTTCCTCTCCCACGTCTCCAGGCCACGGTATCCCGCGGACCGGACCGCCACCGCAAGTGATTTGCGCGTTTATTTCTCGCACATATCATCGCAGTTCAAAGAGTGTTCCATCGAACGCTTTCCCTTTCGCCGTTGTTTCCGCTCGTTGCGGAGCCTGCGTACGGGAACAGTACGAGCTTCGATTCGTTTTTTCCCAGCAGCAGCATCAGCAGTATCATCAGTAGCAGCACGTATTCATGATTACGTGAACCGAATCCCTTCGCAAAAATCCGCATAGGACTGGAGCCACTTCGAAACTCATTGCGCTTGGTGCGCGAGACGGAATTAATAATCTAATGTGCGCGTCAAATATTTTTTGAAACATTAACGCTGAAATCACCAACGGTTTCGCCGGTCAAAATATGTACATTACGTTTTCTATTTGTAATAAAATAAAAAAATTGGAAACTGACACAAAAATTATTACGAGTTATTCAAAAACCGAAACGCGTGCCGTTCGAAACGCATTGTTCGTTGGAACCACCATAGACGGCCACTTGTACTAAAAGCAGTGCTCGACTCGGCAAAATTAAAGAAAGGGGACTCTGTTTGCTTTAAAAATAAAAGCATCCCCAAAACTTGTTAAAAGTTAAAAAGTTAAAAGTTATAAGTTAAATTTTGTTAAAAAGTGTTATGGCTATAACGTAATAATAGTAAGGGGACGCTAACATTTCTTGAAATTAGTAGAGGTATTCCGTCCCCCCTCATGTCGAGTACCGACTACGAGTGTTGTAAGACTGGTTCGCGATGAAGAAAATCAAAAGGGTCGTAGACCTACCGCTTTCGACTGCAGTTTACCGCGTTACCAAAAACGTTTGCCGAAACACTAGTACGAAATCGAAAACTCTAGGCCCCGGATGCGCGTAATACGAGTGTTACGGCTAACGTGTTCGTGCTTCGTATCGTTGCATTCGTTCCCCTCGGCCGCGGACAGGTATCGCTGCGACCCGACCGTGAAAGTCGCGACCGAACTTTCAACCTACGCGTACCGTACGACGACTGATATCCGTTTCGACCGCACGCGGACGTACATCGCGTTATCGAATAAGCAGCAACAAATACGATGCGAGTGCACAAACGAACAATGCGCCTTACACGGCGTTTCCGTCGAGGTTGTATTTTTTCCGCGTTCGTTTGCACTCCGTCGGTTTACCTTTGATACGCTTTTCGTCTGTCGCACGGCACCTGATATGTGTAAACGTTGTCCGTTGTAGAGCACGTGGACGTTAAGAGCTCGCGTAATCGCGAACGCGGTGAAATCAGTCGCTCCTGCGGACGACTCACCTAACCGAAGACGACAATGTTTCTAAAACAGTGGCGCAACCAGGGGGGTGGACTCCGGGTCTGGACCCCCCCCCCCTTGGTACGTATAATAGTTTATTAATATCATATTCTAGATATATATATTATAATTTTTTATTATTTGTATATTAATTTATTTTGTCAGACCCCCCCCATGAAAAATTCCTGATTGAGCTACTGTTCTAAAACATTGCGAACATTTCAAAACATCTTTTACGCAAAGACGGATATTTTTTTTTTCACTCCGAAATATGTTGAAACGACATGAAAATTTTTTATTATACGGACTTGTGTCGTGTCATAATGTACTACAGTTGAACTTTTTACGTTGTACCGATCAACTTTGGTTCACAATGTTGGTCGTTAAAATTGGACTAATGAGTTTTAATTTACAACCATGTCTGCATATGAAACCAGTATTTTCCATGGTTATTACGCATGTTGATTCACTGATGCAAATTTATTTAGAAAGGAGAAAAAATTATTTTTTTCTTTTTTCAGTTAGGTGTATTATAAATTATTTAAAAAAATGAAATTTTTTTCTCCAGAACATTTAAAAATTATAATTCTATGCGATTCTTATAATTCTATTATTATATATATATTTATATTTTACAACTTTTTAAATGTTCATCGATCATTGCATTTTTATTACTTCAGATACGTAAATCATTTATTGACTGTAAACTAGAATTCAAAACGTGATTGAAGTATAAGATATAACATTATTTAAGCTATTTCCTTTAATTTTGGATAGTCACGTTTGATTTCACAAATCAACAATCATCGCTAATATCCTATATAATATCCAATATCAGTAATTACATATTACTAAAAACTGATGTAAATTATCTATTGAGATTTTCTTATCAACACATAGTATAAAAAAATAATAAATTTTAAAATTATACATTTATAGACCAAGGCCATTATATTAACAATGTGAATAATTCTCGTTGTTATAACTGAATTATTTTACCTAGATTCGACATCTGATAATGTCATAGACAAAAAATAACCACGTAAAGTGATTTTTTATTAACCCAGATATTTTTCACATTAAGAGAAAACAATTAGACAAGAACAAAATAGCTATACGCTATAGCTTGAATGTAAAGTGGATTAAACACAACCGTGAGACGTCCTTAATGACTTTAAGAGTCGTTGTCATTGATGAGAACATTGTTACGGATACGAGAAGTACAAAATGAAAATGTTATTATAATTTCTTTCGGTAATTGAATTAATAAAGCTTTGAATATGCATGAGCAGTATAGCAATAATACCAGCAATCTTTATGCAAAAATGATACGACCCATTTGTAGTAGAATATGATTAGTATTAAATTCTAACCAGTTCAAACCTAAACACATTTTGAGACCTAAAACACCGAAAACACAATAACCCATTACTTGATTCCGGTTTGAAGTGAAAACTTAATAAACTGTGTCCATAAAAACTGTGGTACATAGCAATTAGTTCATATTTTTGTAGAAAATATGTTTTTAAATAATGCTATGTGCTGCAGGTACCCCTGTGTTATTAGTGCACTGGAAGTATCCATCAATCATCATGCCCATATAATACTTTCGATTCCATTTATCAAATAAATACGAACAAGATAATGTTGGAGCTCGGTATTAGGCATTCGTCGCACTTTGCTCGCCTAACATAAGTCACTGTTAATTTTTAAGCTTAAATGTAATAATTAATCATCAAAATTCAAAATGTCTATTTAAAGCGCGCCTTATTGATTGTTGATTAGTTTAGTAACAATACAATCTTTGTCAGAAGTTTTTCAGATCTTAACCGTAGTTGAAAAAAAAATGATTGTAATTATTAAGTAAAAATAAAACAAATAAAATATTGTAAAATTACCTTGGTGAAATGAAGTAGTAAATTTAACCTAACGATGCACCTATTCGCATTAATAAAGTTTAGTTTCATAATGTTATATGCAACCTGGTTATAATTGTTCTTGGTAATAGCTTTTTAGGAGAGCACTGCACTTTATAAAAGAATTGTATGACTGCCATAAATTAATATTTTAGATTTGCAAATGAGAGAAGGGGTAATAGATAACTATTATAACTCACGTTCTGCACACTTTTATAATCGCGAAATTAAATGGCGTGTTCACGTATGTGTATTTTCAAAGTGTTTAAGTTGTATACGCAAAGCATTTAATTGAAAATTGGAAATGAATTGTAACATGGAGATTACACAGTTCAAAACATGATTCATATGAACAACACTATGATTTCGTTAAGCGTGTACAATTATCTATATTAACGTATAAAGTAGTAATAATTTTTAATTTGATATAATTTACAAATATCTCAGCACGTATAGATTACAAAACTCGAAAATTAATTTAATTATAAAAATTATCATATTTGGATTTATAAATTAAAAACTCTATCTCATTAAATTCAATATTACGATATGCTTTTTCAATCTATCACACACAAAACCCAGTAATTTAGACACTTTCTTTGTCCAGCGTATCAAAACATTTGTGACGTTATGATGATTTCGAATACAGATATTAATTTATCATAGGTTCAATTGAAATTTATCGAAATTTTAATTTCTTAACTGCCTCAATTTCCCCCAAAAAATAAAATAAAACTAGAAAAAGAACATCTTCAATTTTTAATTAATTAAATTAAATTTGGGGAAAACTAACGAATCTGCAATAATGTCCCACAAAAAAGTAAATCAATTTTGAGAAGATAACACGATGACTTCGAATTTGTTTTTAAAATGTCTACTATCACGTTGTTATTAAATCGGTGAAAAATATTACTTAATTTATGTATTTTACGTATGATAAACATATCTATGAATTCGCAGTATCCAATTCTGTAAACTAAAATTAGGTATCTAAGAATTTCAAGTGTTAAATATTTTAAACGAATATTCATACTTAGTGATAGAGATATATTAGAACATTAATTCATTGCACTTCAAACAGCTTATATTGTTGAAAATTATGTTTCACTGCAATTTTTTATCGGTGTTTAATCATTTTTGAGTATACATATAACTTTTTTATTTTAGGTTTTCAAAACTAAACTTTCATAATTTTGTCTATAGATCGTGAGCAAATTTAAATGCGAAATTTCGAATAATAATTTATTAATATCGTTGAACTACTTTAAATGCTCAGAGCGATGGTTAAGAATAGTGAAATATTATTTTTTATCATTGATATGTATCTGACCAATTTGCTCTAATAATGTTTAAAAAGCGAAACGATTGCTTGTCATATGAATACACGATCGCGTGAAGTGATAAATTACATGAAACTCACAGTGTGAATGTTCTATTCGTATATTGTTTTTGAGTAGTTATAATTCTGTATTAATTTGAATTATAATTAATATATGCATAGCTAATTATTGCAAAACTACATACACATACATTTGTAAACTAACGTACATCGTACATTTATCATATATTATAAACATGTATTTCTTCGTTAATATTAACGCGTGTTTTTATTTTATTTACTTTCCA